CGTCCCTGAAGATAGCACTCCGTATTATCATAAAGACTGCAGTTTCTATTATGACACTGTATTCTGTGTGGTCACGTTTTAATGGCAGTTCACTGAATTAATAATTGCAGGTATGTATCGCTTTCAAACCGACATAACTGTCTTTCAAAATTCTACAGCTGTACGAACTATGAACAACCTGAACATCAGACAATACAGCCGGAGCCAAGAAACTACATCACCCATTTTGTTATTTCATGTTCATCTCTTATTATACACGTATTTCCACTGCAACAAAGAAATACTTGTCCCTGAAAAACAATAAACGGCCAGGTTTAACTGAAAGCATGCGGCGGACACATTTCATTCACTGATCTCTCGTACATGAAGTAGAACTTCTAACAAATACATCAAACAGGATAATTCTCAGACGACACACACTAAGATTCTGTCTTCGGAGATATGACATGTTTCTATTTTATTGCTAGTGGGGTGGGACTAAGTCCCTTGTACTGCGGCCACTTCTGGCCTATTGTACCAGCCCCAGATGATAGTTGACGATGATTGTGGAGCAGTTGGTGGATTGAAGATTGGCAGGGGAAACCGAAGTACTCGGAGAAGCGCCACTTTGTGCACCACAAATCCCACTTGACCAGACCCGGGATTGAATCCGGGTCGCCGCGGTGGGAAGCCAGAGACTAACCGCTTGAGCTATGGCGCGGCCCATGATAAAACCTTAATGGATGAGAAGGTTCTTCTTACGGATGAGCAAAGAAATTGGATTTTTCAGATGGAATCCAGTCCTAGTGAAGATGATGTGAACATTGTTCAAGTGACAATAATGGATTTAGAGTATTATAGAAACTCAGCTGATAAAGCAGCGTCAGGGTTTGAGAGGACTGAATACAGTCTGGAAAGAAGTTCTACTGTGGGTACAATGCTATCTAACAGCATCGCATACTGCAGAAAAATATTTCGTGAATGGAAGAGTCAACCGATTCGACAAATTTAATTGCTGTCTTTAAGAAATTGCCACAGCCACCCCAACCTTCAGCAACCACCACCCTGATCAGTCATAAACCATCAACATCGATGCAAGACCCTCCATCAGCAAAAGCATTAAGACTCGCTGAAAACTCAGATCATGGATAGTATTTTTTGCAATAAAATGTTTTCATTAAAGTATATACGAGTATATTTCTTTTAGGCTTGGGCCACATGAGCGCACAAAGTACGTCCGTTGCAACGAACGCACTTTATGACGGACGTTGCTGAGGACACCAGACAGTTGCAGAATGCGGTGCGTAGCTTTTTGTCTGCAATGGAGCCAGAAGAAAGCGTAGCATTCGCCTCTTTTGTTTATTTCTACAAAGGACATCACGACGTTCGTTACAACGGACGCATTTTGTGCGCTCGTGTGGCCCCAGCCTATATTGCACACTCAACAGCCTACAGTAGTGTAAACATAACTTTTATATGCACTCGGAAACAAGAAAGTCGTGTGACTCGCTTTGTTGCGGTAATCTTGAACGGTACTTGCAATCCCTGTACTTTGATTCCACGACTATTATAAAATCCAAGCGATTATTCCTGATTTCATAAAAAAAATCGCCAACATATCTGTAATAAATTGCATTAAAGTGGTTTAATCTAACCAAACTTCTCGCCTAAATTCAGTTTTCTGCAGAAACATGAAAATGTATTGAAATACTCAAACAAATTCTTTAGTGATCCTCAGTTTATATAACGATACATTCTTAGCTGAAGCAGTTATGATGGGTTCTAACGGAAAGATTATAATGAATTGGAAATTATGTGAAAGGAAAAGGCACCATTCCAGAATATTCCCAGAAGCGAGGAAAGCTATGACCACCCTAAGCCAAAATGATTGGCCTCTGGGATGAGAATGCACCTTTTAAATCCCGAACAGAAAACAAGGTAGCCAACGCCGTACAAAGTATCCCTTGATACTTTATTTATTTAGTGGGCTGTTGTACGAAGCTTACAGTAGCGCACCAGTTGACTACCGGGAAACGGTGTTCTCTGCTCGGTCCGTGCGAAGGTTGCGTGACGCAACAATGTAAGAACGGTTGGAAGCGGTTTTCTGTGAGGCCCGTTCCGAGACGTTATAAGCAGGACAAGTCTAGAATTTAGTTAGTTTGGGTCCATCAGAAGCGTAGCAGGTTGGTGCTGGATGGCTACCAGCCTGGGAGTTAGATGTGTCAGAGATCAGTAAGAATGTCAACGCTGAAGCTGAGGAATCTACGGCCTTGGAAGCCGTTATCAGACAACGACTGGTGAAGACTTAGTACGCGCTGTAGCGAAATGCTGAGTGTGTGAATTAGAGATAGAGCTATAGTTACTTATAGTTACGATCTGTAAGTGTTCAAAAAATCGATTTACTAATCTAAACACCGTCTACAGTCACCGAATCACGTGAAAATATTGTCAATATAGATGAAATATGGATTTGAAAATATTGCAAATGAAGCAGTGGTGGCGAAATTGAGACACTGGACGGGAGTTTGCCTGGAGAGACCGAAGTTTTCCATGGAAAACTTCAATCAGGATACGCTATTCTGTCTGAGATTTGAAACGAGCACCTCCTGAGAGTCAGGACTGCTACACCATCCTGTTGGATCTGCCGATACTGACAAATTTACTCCATTAGAGTACTCTGAAGTCTAAACAACGTCCAATATTTTAAGTGGCATTCCTCTCTTTGGATACTGGAGAACTCTTTCCAAAGGATTCGATATACTATCTACTCCGCATATGAAATTTTGTGATAATTCTGAAATACTGATTTTGATATATCTGTAATATTCTGTAAAGGTACAGTATTTACTTACTTACTCATGGAGCTGAACTCTTCTTGAGGAGCCGCCAATTCTGCAGCTACTCAAGAATTTTCCAGCATTTTATGGAACCCGAAGGTTCATTACCGTGTTCACAAGAGCCCTCCACTGGTCCCTACCCTAAGCCAAATCAATCCAATCCATACCATCTCATTCTATCTCTCTAAGATCCATTTTAATATTATCCACCCACTTACGCCTTCGCCTAGCGGCCTCCGTAGTCTTGGGGTAACGTTCCCACGTCGTGACTCAAGGTACGCGTGTTCAAAACCGGCGGAGGTCGTGGAATTTTTAAGGGCGGAAAAATTCAGGGAACAAGTCCTCAGGGAGGGACTTTAAGCCATCGGTCCCGTGTCGTAGCTTTACAGCACGTAAAAGAACCTCATGTCCCAAGGGGACCACTGAGCCAAATTCAGGATATTTCCCGCCCAACAGTAGTCTCTACCGCCTCTGGTAGATGGGGGAAGCATCGAGATACCGCTGAGCCAGTAGAGGCCGAACTCGCTGGCTGAGTCGGGACTGATGGCACGCACCAGTACCGGTAGGGAATAGAGACTGGTAGAATATCATAGGGGGACGCACAATGGACTAACAGTTGGTCTAAGTGCATGGGGAAACCCACCCTCTCCAATACAATAAATACAAATACGCCTTTGTCTTCCCAGTGGTTTCTTTCCTTCTGGCTTTCTCAACAATATCCTATATGCATTCCTCTTCTTCCCCATTCGTGCTACATGCCCTGCCCACCTCATCCTCCTTGCCTTGATCATTCTAATTATGCTTGGAGAAGAGTACTAGTTATTTAATGAATACAAATACCAATGGAATTCCGTCTGCATTCTGGTTTCTCGGTTACCCCATAAAAAAAAGCCAATGGCTTGCACAAAACCTGCAGAGACACGCGGCACTGTAGTAAAAGGCCACTGAACAGATGAAGCTGTCAGACTTGTAGGAGAGAAAGTGAAGCATCAGTTGTCGCAGTAACATTCACAGAACTCCTGGGGGCTTCTGTAGTGAGTGTTCGGTTCTTGGGATGTGACGCCGTGAATATGGAGGAACCTGCTACCTCAATCTCGTACCTAGACTCTAAATCCGATTTTTATGTTATTCAAAAACTGTTTCTCCTGTAGTCGTTGAATGACGTCAGATCAGACGCACATAAGATCATGAATAATGAAAAGCCGTTATTTAAGTTACTGCTACAAAATCTGTAATATAATTACCACAATTTTGTTGCACAGACTAAAGATTATAAGACTTGGTCTAGGCTGGCGCGGGATTAAAATGGCTGCCGCAGCACCATGATCGATGCTGAACGAGATGGGAATATTGTCGAAAATAATGAGCAAGTACAGGTCTAGCCGAGCGGTCTCAGGCATGTACTGTCTCCGCTCGCTCTGAAGCCGGGATCGTGGGTTCGAATCCCATAAAGGGCATTAATGTTTGGTATGTGTTTATTCTCTGTCTGTGTTGTCCTGTGTTTAGGTAGTTCCATAAACTCATTCCCAGTGCACTCTGCCTTACCTTATACAGGGTGTATCACAACTCAACGGCAAAACTTCATGAACGGACTCCTCATGTAGAGAGAAGAAAAAAAGTTTATGATAACATGGGTCGGGAAATGCATATAATTACAGTACAGTAATTGTGTCTGCACGCCACTGAAAAGAATTGGCGACATGAGTGTTTTCTATCCGTGGGTCGGCTTTTCACTGGAAGGACAGCTCTATGATTATCATGACGTCATCTCTGATTACTTCGTGATAAATTTTCCTCTGCCAGTTCTGTTCAGTGGCGTGCAGACACAATTACTACTATGCAACTATATGCATTTCTTCTCTCTATATGAGGAGTCCGTTCCTGAAGTTTTGCCGTTGAGTCGTGATACACCCTGTATAGCATTATTCAAAAGCAACCGTTTGCACAACCCACTAAGAAGGCAATAACAATATATTTATTAAGTTTGTCACTGTCTGTATATTCTTAATGTGATGGATGGCCTCGATAAGGTGATACCAGATTTGCAATATCTGGTCTAAAATCACTTCAATCGTAAATAAGCGAACAACGTGCTCGGAGGGCCTCATTCCTAGCGCTCCCTTGCCTCTGGCGACTTGGGAACCATTCATCTAGAACAATTCATTAACATCCGTTTTCACTTACTCTTGCAGTGCCCCCTGGAACGCATGCAGGTCTGCTGGTAATAAAGCCGATCCCATCCACGGCTTCATCGAGAGGTGGTGCGCGCGCATCATCCTACAGCACATCCAGTTTACACGACTTCTTTGGTGCGCCATCTCATTCCTTTGCGACGTTCGTGGCCGCGCCTGCGCCCTTCGAACCCTCGGCTGCCAGGAGGCAGTCTGACGATAGTTCCTATGTCGAGTCCCAGAGTGACTACAGCATCATGCCAGCTTTCGGCACGTCGTACGACTTGTAGCAGGTAAACATCATAAATTCGAGGGCATTCGGAAAATACGGGTAACTTAATGTGATCTGTCAACAAAACAATGGGAAAAAATTGTATTAGGTACAAAAAATAAGTACGTACTCAAACTACTTTTCAATGCAGTCACCGCCAGAAATGAGGCAGCTGTACTGAGAAATAAGTTTTTATATGCCTGTCGCCTGTGAGCTCGGCCGCGATTTCACGCCTTCTATCAACACACGCCGTGTTCCCAACCAGTTCTTAAGGTAGGTAAACAAATAATAGTCGCTTGGAGCGTGATCATGGCTGTAAGAAGGGTAGTCAAACAACTCCCAGTTGAAATGCTCCACCAGTGCTCGAGTGCAAGCAGCTGTGTGCGGATGCGCATTGTCATGGAGGAGCATTACACCGTATGTCAGCATTCCACACCTTTTGTTCTGAATGGTCCTAAGAAGTTTTTAGTGTTTAGCAATATACTTCTGGCGTTATTGTGGTCCCTTGTTGCATAATTCTGTCTTCAGCACTCCTTTCCTGTCCCACAAAACAGCTGCCACCAGCTTTCTGGCAGGCAGACATTTCTTTACAATTTTTTGGCTTTTTTGGTGAATGTCTGTGCATTAATTTCTTTCACTGCTCTTTGGTTTCAACATTCACAAATGAAACCAAAGATTCATCACCTGCTAATCCTAAGATGTGATTGAGAATTTCATTGCAATCTTTGTGGTATCGCTCTAAAAACTCAACGCCGAAGCCATTCTCTGCGTTTTGTGCGCACCCGTGAGCATTTTCGGAAATCATCTTGCGCAGAATTTGTCATAACCTAGCCTAACTGTGATAATCTCATAGAGAACAGAGCGTAAAATTAGTGGAAATTCACACGAAAGTTCTGAAATTCTGAAGACCCGTCTTTCACAATTTTTTTGGTCAACACTTTGAACAAGATCATAGCTCAAGCGGTTAGTCGCTGGCTTCCCACCGCGGCGGCCCGAGTTCGATCCCGGGTCTGGTCAAGTAGGATTTGTGGTGGACAAAGTGGCGCTGGGGCGGGTTTTCTCCGAGTATTTCGGTTTCCCCTGCCAATCTTCATTCCACCAAATTCTCCATCATCATAATCACCCGGGCAGGCTACAATAGGCCAGTCAGTGGCCGCCGTGCCGAGTGGACCCAGTTGGACTCCACCTCCCACTAAGCGAATTAAAAAGAAATCATGATGACAGTATCGTTTAAGCGATCAGTACGCCATACCACCCATGCTAAGTGACTATCATAATGTGACGTAACGACCAACTGTTAGGCTACAGCATGATAAACACGTTCCCGCGGAGACAGATTCTAGGTAAACAGCCCGCTGCTAGGTAAAGCCTAAATAATTCGCGACAACAATCGGATTACTTACGTTGCTTTGCAACGCGCTGTAAATACAACAATGAAGAAGAGTTGTTTTCTATGTGGTTCGCATGATCAAGTCAAGGAGGATGAGGTGGGCAGGGCATGTGGCACGAATGGGGAGAGGCGAGGAATGCGTACAGGATTTGGTGGGAAAGCCAGAAGCAGAGACCACTGGGAAGACCAAGGAGTAGGTGGGTGGACAATATTAAAATGGATCTTAGATGGATGGGATGGTATGGATTGGATTTATCTGGCTCAGAATAGGGACCAGTGGAGAGCTCTTGTGAACACGGTAATGAACTTTCGGGTTCCATAAAATGCTGGGAAATTCTTGATTAGCTGCAGAATTGGCGGCTCCTCCAGAAGGGCTCAGCTCCATGAGTAAGTAAGGTAAAGGGACCGATATTCTAACCATATATCTAGTAATAGCAAAACCGTACTCGCACGGTCCTTTCATTTCATTTACGATCATAGTTCCGCCGTAAGTTTCAGCCACTTCAGTTGAGAAAGTGTCGTCTCAACAGACCAACAAAATACATTGGCCCATGGCACCTCCAGCCAACACACTACGATTGCAGTGCAGCATCCTTCTTCCTATGTTTGGTAGCACTTCATGTTCAACAAACATGGCAGTGATACATTTCAAGGTTATGTTTGCATTCATGTGATAGTGAATTTCAAAGAACTTGACTTATGACGTGCGTGAAAAGTCGTCCCGATGTGGGTCACTGGTTTGCCGCGACTTTCGCTGAAACAACCTTAGTCAGCGGTATCCTGCCTTGCACACAGTAGCCGCTCTGAGTGACGAGTTTAAGGGTCAATACACTCTCTGTGGCAATGACTGATTGGGACGTCTGTGAGGTACCTAAATAACTCGTACTTTCCATTACTTTAACTCTCCCCATGTCCCGCCTTGGCATGTGATTAAACTGTACCAAAAAACGATTGATAAAAACAGTTTTGAAAGTAAACTATAAGACGGAAGGAAAGTGGGAAGGCCAATAATGAGAGGTCTTGAAGATGCAGATGATGATATACTGGAGACTTGAAGTTACGGGATGGAGGAAGAATGCGCGTCTCTCGTAAAGTATTCCACGGTTCTCAGAGGCCCGTAAAGTTCAAGAACATGTAACTTAGTAAGTTAATATGCTACAGAATATTCCTGGCCAGTCACGAAAGTTGTAGTTCTTCACGTTGCTGCAGATTCCTACAAAACTGTACGATAACAGCAACAACATAAATATTTTTACAGCCCCTCTTTGCCTATACTAAGTTATAACATGTTCATGAACAGTATAAATAATTGCATTTCCAAGTTCTGCATTTTGCTACAAGTTCTTATCAGGTTGTAAGGAGATCGCATGGACCTACATAGCTTCACAACCTCTCTGCACCCACAGCAAGCTATAAAATGTTCCTGCACAGCTTCATAACCTCTCTAAGCTTTCAGTAAGCTATCACATGTTCCCTTGCAGGTCTACATATTGTTGCAGCGCCCTATCAGACAGCAGGAACCTACGTGCATAGCTTTACAGCATCTCACTGTCTACAGTAAGCTATAAAATGTTCCTGCACAGCTTCATAACCTCTCTAAACCTTCAGTAAGCTATAACATGTTCCCTTGCAGATCTACATATTGTTGCAGCGCCCTATCAAACAGCAGGAACCTACATACNACACCCACAGTAAGCCATAAAATGTTCCTGCACAGCTTCATAACCTCTCTAAGCTTTCAGTAAGCTATCACATGTTCCCTTGCAGGTCTACATATTGTTGCAGCGCCCTATCAGACAGCAGGAACCTACGTGCATAGCTTTACAGCATCTCACTGTCTACAGTAAGCTATAAAATGTTCCTGCACAGCTTCATAACCTCTCTAAACCTTCAGTAAGCTATAACATGTTCCCTTGCAGATCTACATATTGTTGCAGCGCCCTATCAAACAGCAGGAACCTACATACATACCTTTACAGCCTCTCACTGTCTACAGTAAGCCATAAAATGTTCCTGCACAGCTTCATAACCTCTCTAAACCTTCAGTAAGCTATAACATGTTCCCTTGCAGATCTACATATTGTTGCAGCGCCCTATCAAACAGCAGGAACCTACGTGCATAGCTTTACAGCATCTCACTGTCTACAGTAAGCCATAAAATGTTCCTGTACATTCATAACACTTACAGTTCTCAGAATTACTGGATTTTTGGACTTGTCGCATCGTCCGATATTCTAGAAAATATAAAACAAGACGTTTCGGAAATTGGATCTGTTTCCGTCCTCAGGTAAGGGGGGTAGACACGTACTCAGTTGGGCCCCTTAGAAAGATCTAATCTCAATCACTGGTCCAGTAATTGTGTTCATTACACACCATCGTCAGACCTCTTTAGAATTTAGCGTTCTCAGTTTTGTCCACTGCTGCAGGTGCATGATAACAGAGGGAACTCAAAATAGCTTTACAACCTCTGTACGTGTATAGTAATCTATAAAATATTCCTCGACATTCAAGAAAAGTTCAGTTTGTACACTGCTGCAGGGTGATAACAGGAACCTAACATCTTTATAACTGAAGAATGTCTTCTTGGATGCGGCGCCCTGTAGATCTTATTTGAACAGCCGTTCCTCCAAAAGGTCGGCTTCAACAAGATCTACATGGCGCCACATCCAAGAAGACGCACACTTCATAGTCACTGCCGTGAAAACCTCAAATCTAACAGCTTTATAACTTCTCTACACCTGCGGTAGGGCATGAAGTTTTCCTGCACAGCCAGCAAAAAGGGCGCGGAATATTTCGCCCTATGTAGAGACATATACTGAAAATAAAATAAAATGTACTTCAATATATCTGACGATTGATTTAGCAAAACTGTGCTTAGATACAGATACATTTTAAGTAACTGTTGGCAACTCGGTGACTATTTTTACAGTAAGTCGCGTCCACAGTTTGAGGAACCATGCTGCATGCAGTATTGACACACGGTCTTTTTACTTTTCCAGGAATGTGGACTTGATAGCCAACACCGACCCTCCACGGAGACGTTACTTGCTAGGTCCGAGCAACATTCCAGCAGACAAAACAGGAAGCTGTAGGTTGTGTCCCAAGGGATATCCTCGCTCGCTCGACTCCAACATAGGGAACATATGTCATAAACCTGGCAACAGGGCACTGCTGCTTTTCGTGTTTTGTGCACAGTGAACTATGCTTGACTTGCAATGTGGTAGGACCAGAACTGATATCAGATGGGAAAAACTTAAAAAACCAGACAGATCAGAGTCTTCTGAGATGTGACGCCCTATAGGTTAGCAGATATGAACCAACGTTTCGTAGAAATCTGCTACCAGTATCTTCAATTCTGGGATGTGAAGCCGAAATTTTGGTACCTATCTATGAGTACAAAACTACAAGGGACACATCCTAGAACGCGGCGGTGAGGACTCCAAACGTCG